AACTTAAAGAAGTCCAGACGCTTTTCTTTGCAAGCTCCTTTGACTATTCCTGAAGACCACTTAAAAAAATTATAGGAGAGCTTGTCTAAGAGAGTCCAGGAATGTTGACGTATGAAGGTCATCACATCAAAAATGACTTTCCAGGTGATTAGAATTGTAATGAGCTGTATTTCCATGTACATGTCTTTGTCCTGTCTCGCTCCCCTTACCCCGACTAGTCACGGCACATGGCCGCCCCTCCCTGAGCCTGGTTCTGCCGGAGGTTTCTTCCTGTTCAAAGGAAGCTTTTCCTTCCCACTTTTGCCAAAGTGCTTGCTCATAGGTGGTTGTCTAATTGTTGGGGTTGTTCAATATTGTCTTCAGGTTCCTGTTGTTGCAATTTAACGCTTTATAAATGAAGTAAAACTGAAACTGAATGAATATATGTTTGCATGTTTGACTAGAAAAATATGAAGAAACAATGGGCGGCTCTAAAGCTTTGAGCAGGACTCTATGTTTGGGTCTAAGTTATGTACATTTTTGCTATCTGCCAATTTTTTGTGTGCCTGTAAATTCTGATTGGTCCAATCAAGCTCAAAAGCAGATGCTGTTCTTGGTCCACACACTACTTTAGCGTACGTCCCCAGGAAGAAGACATGTGGCTTATTTTATGCCAGAGTTTATCGTATGAGCTGAATTGATATTCTTATCAGAAAATCAGACATGCACCCAGCCTGTCTCCCCTTCACCTCTGCTTTGAGAACAGATTTGTGGATGGAGGCAGTGACTATGAAACCACACTAATATTTACAGTCCCCCACTGCTGGCCACACCACAGAACCTGCTGAATAATTCACAAAGACGCCTCAGCACACACACACAGCATATTTGTCATTGCTTTTCATGTCAGTCGTCTGTCCTCTCGCTCTGTGCATTTCCCCTGCATCCTGTCATTCACCATTAGCTTTGAGAGGAGAACAACGAATGGATTTTTGGGGAAGCTCAAGCTATTAGAGCACTGAACACAAGATGATATATCAACATCAACACAATTTAGCATCCTAGTCAAATAAATAACCACCGGGCGCAGGGAAACCAGGGTAATCCCTCGTTGTTAAAGGACTGTGTGGCATCATGATTGAAAGATGTCCTGTATTAGTGAAAAGTGTGCATAACCACTTAGGATGAGACGTCCCTGTTTCACCTTTAAAGGCAAACTGAGCTTTTTTCTCATTCTTCATTTAAACACAACCCGCTGGGCTCCATCCTCGATTCAGAAGCCAAACCCTTTGACATGTGTCAAATCTACCAACAGGGGGCATTCCACCATCCCCAGTCTAATAAATGTAGTAGAGAAGGAAAGCTGAGTAAGCTGGTTGAGCCTCACTCAGCATGAATATAAATGAGCCCATAAGAAGCTGCTGTCAGCTGGTGCACGGTAAAGGCTAAGACAAGATGAGACTGTTCTGAACAACGTGGGTTCAGATCTGTCCAAAACTGCGTTGAAAACTTTTTATCCTTGTAGTACACTCCTACTCTATGTCCTCTGTAGACACTGGAGTCTTTCCTTATTAATTAGAAAAACGTCCTAATCAAGTTTTGGCTCTTGCTACACAACATTTGAATATTATTCTTTGAACTTGTTTGGACAGGCAGCAGAAGTGCAGTCGGTTCAGTTGGATGAAACAATACTGTCAGTGGAAAAAAGTAGAATGGGAGGCAGAGCCTTCAGTTTTCAGGCCCCTCTTCTGTGGAACCAGCTTCCAGTTTGGATTCAGGAGACAGACACTATCTCTACTT